ACAGTACAGGGAAAAAATCTATTTCGTTTAAATAGGAGCATCAGCAAACCCCACAGAAGGATACTGTAAAAGTATCAATAACATAACAACATAATGAAAATTCTGCCTCAAGGCAGATGAATTGAATATAACTTACGATTCAAAATGAGTTAAAAGAAATCAAGAAATGTATAGAAATAAATCAGAAGTAGAAAAGCTCAGAAATGATATTAATAAGGCAGGGGGATGTGAAAAAAATAGCTGACAGGGTTTAGGAAAGAATTAGAAAACTAAGGGGGAAAAATTCAGAAATGCAGACTAAACTAGAAGGAACACAAGAATGACCAGACGCAGGAAGCGTAAGTGTAAGAGAAACCAGAGAAAGAAGGGAGTTAAAAATAATCAATGAGAAATACAAAATAGTCAAGCAAAAGTGATAGATGTAAAACAAAGAAAGGCAATCCAACAATTATATATATATATATATATAATTATATATATATATAAAATTAGAATCCTAAGAGAAGAAAACCAAAACAATGTAATAGAACAAAACTATAACTAAAAGATTCAAATCACCATCTTGAAAGAACACACACCATACCTGGGAAAATCGACCCAGAATGGCCAATACCAAGACATAATTGTACTAAAACTACTGGATTTTAAAGATAAGGCATAATGTATTAGTGTATCTAGGCAGAAGGACCAGGTCACGTATTAGGGGAAGAAAATCAGGTAAGCATCAGGTTTCTCAGCAATACCACTTCCTACTAGAAAACAGTGCAGCAACATATTTAATATAATAAAGAAAAAGAAAGAAAGAACATGTGAACCGAGGATTTTATATCCTGCCCAACTGACCTTCGAGTTTGAAAGTCACAAACAAATCGCTACAAAGATGCAAGAACGCGGGGTCTGTTGTTCCCATGAGCTCTTGCAGGGGAATCTGCCGTATTTCCATGGAACAAATCACAGAAGCTTTGGCACAAGGTGCTGCTTTGGGAATTATAGTTGATGGCACTGATCTGGTCACTTCCTCTCGCTCTGAGCTGTGAACGTTCTCCAAAGGCATTCTAACGACGAACTCAGCGGATGCAGGTCACGTAAGACCTCCATCCAGAAAAGGAGTTTACAAATGATCCTCCCTTTCATAATAGGGAGAAAAAGCCAAATATTGATCATTAAAAATGGCTTGTGAGTGGTGACTGACAATCATTTAACCACTACTTTTACATTGTGTGGTAACCTCAGATAATGATTCGACTTGTTAAAAAATCATAATTTGCTGAGTGATAATTTTTAATTATTTGTTCAAAAGCTTACAAAAAACTTTCCTCCATACTAAAAAAATGTATTAATAATTGGGGCTTTCTGTTAAAGATGACAGTAAAGGCATTTAAGAAAATTCCATTCCCCTCCTTTGAAATCCAACAAAAAACCCACAAAGAGAATGAAAGAGAGGGAACAGTCTGTCTTCAATGAACAGTGAAATGGCCACAATCACAAACGACAAATTACGAAACACACCTGCCAAAGATCGTAAAATCTGGACCAAAATAAGAGAGGGAAGGCTGAGGGCTGACAAATATTTCCTCAGGCGCCGAACGGGATGTAGATTTCCCTAGGAGTAAGTGTGACCGTCCTGACAGGCCTACTCAACAGTTTTTTGAGTACAGAGACTAGATGGAGGACCATGAGCTGCCCCTGAAAGCAGCGTGAACGTCCCTGCAGGACGGCTGGGGAGATGGAGAAGCCTCAAGGAAGGCTGCCAGCGATGAAGTGGTGTGAAGTGAGAGGGGCAGCAGCCACTGGACGGTTACCCAGCGAGCCAGGTATTTACGAGGCTTTTTCCCAGCCACACCGACCACTCAAATTACCAAAATCTGAAGAGAGATGTGGGCAAGGGAAATAAAAGTCTGGTGACAGAGTGATGAAGACAACAGACTGATATAAACACCCCAGTTCATTCCCCGACACATGTTCTTCACAAACAGCCAGCTGCATTTAAAGCTCCAGCATAAAACTATGCATCGGGGGTGTGTGTGTGTGGGGGGGAGGTGGGGAGGGTATAGCTCAGTGGTAGACAGTGTGCTTAGCATGCACGAGGTCCTGGGTTCAGTCCCCAGTACCTCCATTAAAATAAATGAATCTAATTACCCCCCTCAACAAACAAACAAACTATGCATTAAAACTGGGGAGAAAAATTGAAGGGGAAGAAAGAAGTCAGGATGTGGGGAAAGGAACAGAAATTGAGTCACATGAACAACACAGCATCACAAAAATGTTCCTCATGGAAAAGAACCAACAAATAGGCTCTGTACTCCTAAGGAAATTAGAGCCGTGATGTCTGGGGAAAAGCGGGCTTTAAAATGGAATTTGAATTCCCAAAGAGATCATAAGTCAACAGAAGAAGATGAAAAGACACCTCAGAACAGTCAGGG